CACGCAGTGTTAATTGAGGTTGCTATGGAAGGCATGCACGTAGTATAAATAAGCTCCCTTCTTGCCATGTGATTTCGCTTTTGTATTCCAAAGCCTCCTTTTTGTATTCTGTGTTTTTGCATATTGTCATATGGTGCATTAAAGATAAAAATATCTGCTGTCTCAGGGTGTAATTTCCCTAGCTGGAGCTATGAGTGCATATGGAGCAGTGGGGGAAAGATTTAGCTAACCGTAGGAGAAGGAAATGTATGCGTGTGTGTGTGTAATATGTATTTGCCATAATACGGGCAATTAAAAAATTTTCTCATACAAAATAGTATTTTCTGTGGTGGAATATCACTGGGTTGACATCTCAGTGGCCTTATTTTGCCTTCAGATATTGATGCTAATTAGCGGAAAACACTGCTGTGGTGCATCCAGAGGTAGAACTGCTTTTCCAGCCCTGCTCTGCCTCCCAGAATGAAATATTCTTTTAAAAAAATACACTTTTTAAATACTTTTTTTAAAAAAAAAAAAAAAAAAATCGCTCTACGGGTCTTATCATTTGTTTGTTGTGTTACAGATAAAAGATGGAATTGTTGACCCTGCTTCGCAGCAAACCTCACATAACCTGCGAGGGGAACTGAAGCAGAAAGCAAAGCCGAGACAAAGCAGCATCTGACCTTGTCACTGGGGGGCAGAAAACAGCCACTGGCTGCCACTGGTTGTACTGGTGCTTCAATCAAGCTCCCTGTGCAACGTGGAATTGCAGACGGCTCAGGAAGTTCAAGTTCTTTCCAGGTCCATGAGGTGAATAAAAATTGTTAACTCTTGGCTTGATTTGTCATCCTTTGGGGGAAAAAAAACAAAAAAAAAAGGTAATGTCAGACTGGCAATTAAATAGTCGTGCTGTTAGACCGAGCACAACTGGAAGTGGGTTGTCCTGGAGGTGAGAGTGACTCTGGCCAGCAAAGCCACGGCGAAGCCTGTTCAGCTTCACGTCTACCCGGGATTCCTTGGAGAGGTGATAAAGTGAGTAACAAGACAAAGTGGGAGTTACAAAGCAGACGCCGTAGCTTCAGCAGAACTCTTTGCTGCCACATCCGCTCGTTAAAAAGCAACTAACGTTATTTTGAAAACAATTTTGGGGAAAAAAAATGCACTTCCAGCATCTCTGCAGTTCTTGTGTCTGATGCATTAATCAAGAAAATCGATAATATAATACAAACGAAGGAGAGGAGCGAATATGGCGAAGGCAGCTAAGGAAATTCAGATGGAGAACCCAGGAGAGGTAGAGACTCACAGCACGGGGGCAACGTGCTCCCCGTCGGAGGACCAGGCAGAAAAACCCTCCATGCTCTGTTTTAAGAAGCGTAAGAAGTCCTGTAAGAAGGGGCTGACCATGAAGGATGCGTGCGAAGGAGCCTCGGAGGAAAAAAGCCAATGTGTCAGCGCTGACCAAGGGGAGGCGAAAGTTTCTAATCCATCGCGATCCTCCAAAGGAGCCTGGGCAGCCATCAAAAATCTCGCAAGACCTCGGAGAAGGCAAAAATCCTCCTCGCGGAAGAAAGTGCCCTCTGATTCCCAAGTGCAGCTGGAGACGGATGCTGAGGAGGGCTGCGCGCAAGGCTTCCCGAAGAAACGGGCGAGCTCTGGGGTGAAGATGCCCTGCGTGCGGTTCTCCAGAGGCAAGAAAAAACCCAGCCCCTCCGAAGCAGCGGAGGAGTCGGAGGGCAGTGTTCAAGCAAATGAAGTGATGGGCATTTCAAATAAAGCTAGTGAAGAGCCGGAGGATTTGGCCCCGATAGACACGTCTGAATCCTTCAGCCCGGTCCCTGCGGAGGAGGACCAGGATACGGCGAAGGAAAGTGCCGACGCCGTTGGGAAGAGTGAGCCCTTGACAGAGCCCACGCCTGATGCAGATGACCATATGGAGTGCACCACTCAGTCGGAGATAACCGATTCGGAGACAGTTAATGAAACAGCCCAGGAGGAAAAACTGCAGGAGGGCAACCCACCCCAAAGCACAGTCCACACGGAAGGCAGGGAAGTTGCTCCCGAAGTGCCCGTTTCCAAGGATCAACCCGACAGTGTCCCTGAACCCACCGAGCTGCAGGAAATCCCTAATACCTGCACAGAGCTGCCTGAAGGGGGTGAATCAGAAAAGAGCGTGAATCTTCCTGAGGAGCGCAAAGGCGAAGAGACTGTAATGGATTTCAGTCAGTCGGCGTTTAAAGATGACGCGGTGAGCGTGCAGGGCTGCTCCAGCCATCAGGTGACATTAGAAGCAAACGCAGGCACCGGCGTTGGCATCGTCATCACCGTCACCGAAGCCGAGGACTCGGACAACACCGACTCTGACCAGGCCTACGAGCCATCCCCGGTTTTGCAGCGAAATAAGCAAAAAGGGAATAAAAAGTCAAGCGGGAGCTTTGATTTTGGTCAAAAAGAGAGCCCCGAGGCTGGTGGCAGTCCCCAGGCAGAGGAGAAAGGGCCAGGCGACCAGGGGCACAGAACTGGGGAGCAGTACGAATTGCTCCTCGTAGAAACCGCGTCTTCCCTCGTGAAGGCGGCCATTCAGTCGTCCATAGAGCAGCTGGTCAACGAAATGGCTCTGGAACAGAATAAACACAACAGTTTTCTTTGATGACAGCGACGCCCCCAAAATCAAGAGTATAGGGAGTGATTTAAAGCTCCATTTGGCCTGGGGGGGGAAGCTCGAAGGGCTCCCAGGGCCGAGGCGTAGTTAATTCTGCATGCCCATTCAGTTGTGTGTCTGTGTGAAACGGATCCTGGGACGTGGGGCAGACCCTGCTACGTGCAGCGTGTCCCCTGGGGCTGGGGCCTCAGACAGTGCCATCCACCACAGCGGCAGAAAAATGAAGGTGTTGCAGCGACTGTATTTTCATTTATTGGCATCTTTGTGTCGAGGCCATCTTTTTGCCATCACCCGTGCCAGGTTTCCCCGCTGTTTGTGCTGTAGATCTGTACGTACCGTGCGTTTAGGGAAAGGTCCCGAGAGACGGCGAGCGCCCAACCCGTTGCTGGGCTGGATTCGCGGCACGTCGGACATGGCTGGATGTTTGCCCCGGGGTTCGGCGGAGATGAGGGAGGGTGAAGTGACTGCAATGTTAACACGGAGACGTCAATGCCAGACAGGCTCAGGCCGGTGTTTAGTATTGCAGACAGGTACTCGCAACGTACAGATGCCAGAAACCACGGTCACCCCTGCTGTCACGTCGCATGAAGCCGGATGGTTGCAGCGAGCGGCGTTTTTTCATTCGGCCTCTCCCCCTGTCAGAAGCAGCCTGTGCATTTGCCCAGCATCAGCCGCTCGCCTTGCTGACCCCGGGCTGTGCGAACGCCAAGAAAACGACAGCGCTTCGTTTGCCGGGGGCTCATTCTCGCACCATTAAGCTCAACGGGCAAAATTCCCATCGGAATGGGCGGCACGGGCTGGGCGGGAGCGTGCCTGCTGCGGGCAGCCCCTCTCCTTCCTTCGCCTTCCTCCGTCCAAATCACGATGTCATGGTGAAGCTGTCCTCGGATGTAGCGTATTTTTGATATATGGCATGTGATATAAATAGCAGTGAGCTGCATGAGTGTTCGCAGTCAACTATTGCCTTGGTGTCGACATAGTTTGGGTAGCCGCGGCGTGCTGCCGGCGCTGGGATTGCTTTGACCGGGGAGGAGGTTTGGTCCGAGCGCTGCCGGCGTCCCTGGGTGCTGGCGGCAGCCTGTCCCGCACAGCTCCCCCCTCGCTGCAAAGCCTCCCTGACTTCAGCAAGCCCGGGCATCCCCTGGGAAATTCGCGTTACGCCCGGCTCGCTGCTGCCGGGCTCTGGCTGACTCCGGCACGCCACGTAGCTTGCTCTGAAACATGCAGGGAGATGCCGGAGTGATCTTACTGAAGTCCTCAGGGCAAAAATCTAGACATGAGGGCCTGGGGACATGGCCGTAAAATGCCCGGACAGGCCAATCGCCGTCAAAACCCACGAACTGCCCTGCTCCGAGGGGGTTTGCACCAGCGTAGCGTCTGTGTGCGAGCATCGCCTCCAACTACCAGCTCTCCAAGAGAAAGGGGCCTTTTACTGATTTGGGATTGCATCCGCGCAGCTGGGATTTACGTACGGCTGCGGGCAAGTCAGCCTGTTCTTCTGAGAAAAGTCTCCTGTGTATTTCTCAGCCGATACAGAAATAGCAGCTTCGCTTGGCAATTGCTCACTGACCATAGGCGTACGCTGAGATTTCCTTTCCCAGCGTAGGATCTGGATTCCTGTTAAAATACAAGGGCTGTAAACTTTCCTAGTACCTGGTGTGCAACCACATTTTAAACTTCGATAAAGCATCTCTGTTGTTACGAGAGGACTGTGAGCAGTGAGTGCCACAGCTTGTTTCTGTGCAAGTAAAACTTAGGAAAAATCAGAAGATGTTAAAAAAAAAAAGTGTCGTTTTTTTCTGTGCATTTAATAAGTTATCAGATATTGATAATTCAGTGTGTACAATTTTAATGGATTTGTACTTCATACTCGTCCTTCCAGGTATTTTGCCATAGTTTTGAAAGGGACTTTTTAAGGACTTTTATATGTACCTTCGGAGCTGCTGCAGCGCCCCAAGAAGAGCCATACTGGTGCCTGAGGTTGCTTACAGGATTGCACGGGGTTGGTGGGCACCATGGCAGGTCAGTGCCAAGCAAAGGGCAGTGGCATCTCTGTGGGGCCCTGCTGGTCTCGGCTGCGGAGGAGGACGTCCGGGCTGTAGTAAAGAAACACAAAATGACCCCGTGGGGCCAGGCTGTCATCTCCTCTCAGCCCGCTAAGCAGTTTCGGGAGGATGTCATGTATTCCAGTATTGCCTTTTAGACAAAACACATCTTCAAAAGAGGAGGAGAATGGCAGAAATGCTTTGGTCCAGCCTGGCCCCTGTGATTGTTGCTCCGCGTCCAGGGTTGTGTTTGCATCCTTTCTGTAGCTGGTTTTTCCCTCGGTTATAGCTGTACATAGAACTGGCGATTATTTCATTAAAGTTGAATGTGCCTGTTGTTTTCTTGCCTTGTGATTGAGTGGGCAGCCACGGAGAGGTTTTATACATGAAAGGTTAAACTCACAGCGATGTTCCGTTGTGTCCAGCTTTTTCAGGCGGCCGTACGGTCAGAAAGAAATCTTAAAGTTGGTAGCAGACCTGAAATCTTTGGAGGCTTGCTCCTCCTGTGCTCTTTTTTTATAAGGTTTCCTTTCGGTTGCTGGCCGGTCATTTCCACCGCAGAGTCCTGGCTGCCCAGGGACTGCTCTGAGGTATTTGTGAAGGATCACAAATCTCTAGTGGCTAAGAAAAGCCGACCTGCTCCCCAACAGTTAAATTCCCTATCGGATGTTCCGTACTGCCAGAGGAAAATATTTGACAGACAGACCGGGGTCAAACCCCACTGCGTGTGTTGTGGCACGGCGCTTGCCGATCCCATGGAGGAGGTTTGCTTTCCTCTGCGAGCTGCTGGTTCGTGCTTTCTGCTCCCGAGGCTCCGGGTTGCTCTTTCCAGAGGTGGTTTGGTGCTGCCGGGGTCCGCGGCGCGGCCGACACCTCGGGACGGGGAGCTGTAAGTTCGGTGGCACTTACTGCTCAAATGGACCCCCCCACCCTAATATTTTTTACACATCTTTCATTAAATTTCTCGAGGTATTTTACAGAAAATATGGGGGGGAAAAAGTTATACATTTTTAATAGTATTAATATTATTATTCTTTCAGGTTTACAGAACAAAATATAGACTCGTAACAGCCACTAATGACTTAATTAAGACTTTATACTCCTTCATGATGATTAGAGAGTTGAACATTAATAACACATTTATTCTTTTGGAGAAGGAATGATAAATTTACTCTTGTGAAGGAGTACCGGGCCAGGAAACCTGTGAGGACGTGAGTGCCTGGTTGTGCCATCACCAAGGGTGGCCTGGTCTTACGACCACGTTCCTCACCGACAGCTGAAATAAATAAACTGGAATAATACATACCCTTGGTTTCTTACAGCCGCGTTCAGATTGCTTTTGGGCCATCCGGCTCCGCGTCCAGGAGCCCGTTGCTTGCTGCCCCGCTGACTTACAGAAGTGGTTTCTTTGCAGCAGCATCCTAATGAATTATTTGGTTCTTCTGCTCACCCCGCAGCCTGTGCGGCTGCTTTTCTCCCAGATGTTTCCAGCACTCCTCTCAGCAGGGACAATTTGTCTTTATATTCAACAAGTTCCCGATCCCTGCTTTGCCATGCCATTTTGAATATTTCCTTTTTCCTCAGCTTTTTTATATTAGCAGCAAAGAAAAGAGTGTTTAAATGGTATAACTCATGCCCAGGAACACTTCCAGGGGGATAAAAAGCGTTTCTGTTATGTCAACACTGAGCCCAGCAGAAAACAAGTGTATCTGCTGAAAAGTTCTTTGTGGAAATTGCTGGTAGACAATGATGGCATGAACAAATATTGCATTTTCTTTCCTGCCTTGGGACACCAAAAGTGCATTAGAAATGCGCAGGCTGCTTAGGGCTGGATCTCCAGCTGCTGAAGGCCACTGCAGCTCCGTACGCTTCAAAGGACCAAATCTACAGCAGCCAGGAATCTGGTGTTTGAATTTAGGATCCTGTCCCTGCATACATGATGGGCGTTTTCATATGTGTGCTTATGTATAAAAATTAAAATCCAAGAGTCTTTTCACAAATGCATATAAGAAATTGAGTAACTCATGAAATACACGTGAATCCTGTTCTGTGCTTGGGATGGATGGATGGATGGATGGATGGATGGATGGATGGATGGATAGATGGATGGAAGCCAGACCCTGCTGACGGACCTGTGCTTTAGGTGCAGTGAAGCCCTAATACTCCCTTTCTTATAGATAGAGGGTTTCAACACGAGTAGCTCAAGACAATTAAATGCTCCAAGAGAACAGATTCATTGAAATAATTTGCTTTAATATTATTTTACATTTGCAGGTTCATTTCCCAGAGAAATTGTTCTTGTTAGCTCTTGTTGGGTGGTATTTTAATAATAAAATACTTTCATTTGCAACCAGATAAAATCTTTACATGAAATGTGATTTTTTTTTAAAAAAGAAACTAATCAGAGAATGTTATTTCTTATACAGTTATTTAAGCAACAATATAGGTTAACATTTTTAGGAAGCACAACTTTCACATTTCTCTCTTTTTGTAGAGAATTGTGAAGGGCACAGTTCTTCTGTGCTAAATAATGAGATTTTCATGCAATGGGGTGAAAGTCCATTTAGCTGGAAAGTGGATTTCAGCAAAAATACCCAAACCCAGCATTTTAAAATAGGTTTTGTTACATAAAAACTGACAAACTTGCTGGATACAAAAAGGGGAGAGACGTTAAGAAAACACATTTTGCAATTCAAATTGCTAAGATGAAAGTATCATCTGCAGCTAGAGCTGACTGGCAGTCACCCCATCCGTCCGTACGTTAGACTGTGCAGAGATCATCCTTTCCAACCTCGTTATTCTGGAAGAGGAGACACCCCCTGCCAAGGTGGGTGCCCCAGCAAGGTCCCTTCTGCAGGTACCGGTGTCCTTTCAGGTGGTGCCTTTCCAGCGCCAAGTCCACACCGAGCATCATGTTGCCATTGTCCCAGAGAGCAAAACTCA